TTTTTTCTGATTCTTTTTTCAAGTTCACCTTACATTTTATTTTGTTCTTTTTGCATGTGCAGTCTATAGTCACAAAATCACTCCAAACCACAAATCTTTTCCAAGACTCACCCCATATATACTCTGACGAATTCGATTGTTCTTCTCTCAACTGCTCACAAATTTCTCACGTCATGACTAAAAAAACAAAAAACAATCCACCACCAAACGCATGTCCCGAGTACTTCAGATGGATTCACGAAGATTTAAGGCCGTGGAAAAAAACCGGCATCACAAGAGAAATGCTCGAAAAGGCTAAAGACTTCGCGCACATTCGTATTGTAGTAGTTAACGGCAGAGTCTACACAGAGAGGTACAAAAAAGCTTTTCAGACAAGAGATTCCATTACAATATGGGGATTTTTGCAGCTCCTAAGGTTTTACCCGGGAAAACTACCCGACTTGGATTTCGTGCTCGAGTGTGGCGACAAACCGGTTATCAAGAAACGGGATCACGTGGGGCCCGGTGCATTGGTCCCTCCATTGTTTCACTATTGTGGAGATGATTTTAGTTATGACATTGTGCTTCCCGATTGGTCGTTTTGGGGTTGGTAAAAAAACATTCATTTCCATTTTTTTTGGAATTTGCGCTTCAGTCTCAGACTATGTTTGGTAACCAAATAAGCTAGCTTATTATAACTTATTTGGTTAGCTTATAAGATTCCTGTTATCAAATAAGTTTAGGACGAGATTTTTTAAAAAGTTCAGAGCTTATCTCATAAGCTTCTTTGTGTAACTTTTCAAATAAGCTCGTTGAAATTTTTATTTCAGCTAGCTTATCAGCTAATTTTTACCAAACACTTTTATCATATAAGCTAGCTTTTCACCTATAATTCATAAGGCTCAAAAATCACTCATAAGCTATCGACTAGTTTTACCAAACTATCCTTAAGTTCTTAAGGTCACACAAAAGAGTTGTTTTGANTTTAGTATTTTCAACACTCTTCGTGAACAAAGAGCTTTCATTAATAAACTTTGATGTTCTGGACTTTATCCCCTCTACAATAATTTGCTGGTACGCTGTGTTTGGTAAAACTAGCTGATAAGCTAGCTTATAGCTTATGTGTAATTTTTGAGCTTATAGCTTCTAGCTTATGACTTATAACTGAAAAGTTAGCTTATATAATAAAAGTGTTTGGTAAATTAGCTGATTAGTTAGCTGGAATAAAAAAATTCAACTAGCTTATTTGAAAAGCTAGCTAAAGAAACTTATGAGATAAGCTCGAGCATTTTAAAAAAGTTCGTCCTACCAAACATGACTTATTTAAATAAAAGAAGCTTATAAACTAGCTTATTGACTTCCCAAACAGAGTCTCCTTTATCTTTATTTCGACTTTTGACTAGATTAATGTATATTCCTTATATCCAACCATTTTATAATTGTAACAAAACTTAGGGGAACAATAGGTTAGGAATCCAAGCCAGAAAAAAAAATATAATAATAAATGTGTGGGCAAAACTTAGTTGAACC